CCCCCAGCACCCGCCCCCAAGTTCAGCGGCCCAGCCTAGGAAAATTCCCACTTCCTCAGGTATTAAGATGTGTCCCTAGACACACGTGTTGAACCTAAGCCCCTCTACCTCAGCGAAGGTGGTGCCAGGAGAGGTCCAGATTCTGACAGAGGCAAGAGGGAAAGGAAAAGCAATGAACGAGTACTAACTGGCATAAAATGTTATACAAACAGAAAACAGAAGGAAATCTGGAGAAGAGAACTGAAAAAGAAAATCCGAGAAATGATGACGGCAAAGTTGTAAAAAAACTGCAGCACAACCTGTTCCCTTCATATCACTCACATCTTTGCTTGCACAATTGACAGAGTGATAGTGCCCAAGTATCTCTGTCATTGCACCCGACTCCAATACTTCTGCAGGTACTTCGCCCGAATGCATCATATTCCAAAGCAGCTCCAGCAGCCTGCATTATATAACAGGCAAAAATAGATGAAAGTAGAGCCATCAGTTAGTTGAAGGTTACAGAACTAAACACACCCAGGACATCAGTTCAGAACCAATCACGTTCAGTATCAACATCACCACAAGCTCAGGGAAAAACACACACAGCAGATGTGATGCCGGAATAGTGAAAATATAACCATTCCTCTGCCAGGACTGAGAGAGCACACTTGTATACAAGTGAACAAAGGCAACACAGTGGGCCACACAAGTGGATGCTTGCGAGTATGGTCAAAACACTTCAGGATATGACCGGATTTCAGCTGTTCAGTGCAAGGTTTTCATGATTCCGAAGTAGGCAGTGTGCCGACTGCCTACTTAAGCACTGCATCCTCATCCTGTCCAACATGATTGAAAGCATCAAGGAGCCTTGAGAAAACATAAGACAGGCACCCTTACGCCGGCCAAATTCAGAATGCTACTGCCCAAGGGGGGGAACAAAAGAAAGGGGGATGTCTCCTGGTTGGAAGCAACATTAGTTGAGATACAAAATGCACATGACTGCATTCGGTACATTGGCACCTGGTCACCTAATTTCCGTACCTAGGGACCTAAGACTGGCACCTCGGCACCCTGCACAACATACCTCGATGCCAAGCCGTATCACTTCTAGGGTTCCAAAACTCCGACGCAGCTGAGATCTTCTATTGAAGGTATCAAGATCTCAAGCCAGATCTCACTACCTCAATCAACACCTCTGGGTAGCCTCCCCAGACTAAATACAAATATACACTTTTGAAACATCCGTTACTGAGAACCGAGTTGAAAATTTCTGGAGCAATGTAAATACGGTCAAAAGACGAAACCAGCACAAATTCTAATTTGACTATACCCACTTTTTTCAGAAGGTGCCGAAGGTGATACTTATTTCAGTACCCTCTATGAACACGTCAGAAAAGGGAGGAAAAGAAAAAAGGGGAAATTGAGACGGCGGAAATATTACATCGATCTTCACATACCTTGTGGCCATGACACCTTTCGTGTCACTGCGGGCAAGTTTTTTAACTAACTGCAGTATCTTTACAATGTCAGAAGCAGGGCGTCCCTGCCATTCATAACCACAATTACCGACAAACGAGACCTCAGAAAATTATGACATGTGAAAGCGACAACAGAGAGCTCATAATTGACTGAAGCCACATGAGAAATATACACATACAGGATGTGTGTGTGTAAATGATGTATCTTAATATCTTAACGCGAAGCAATAGGAACCGGACTGACACTCCCCGGGATGGATATGGAACCAGGGCCATAGGGACCTGTTATAATTTATTTAAACATACAGACATAAGTTCACAAAACATTTCAAAGCAATGATTTCAGATTCTCCGAGAGACTGAGCACGGAAAGATGTCATCCTGCAATGATCTCATGCGCCATTAGAAATCTGCACCCATAAAAGATTGTATACATGTGTTGTCAAGACATGAGCTACCTACAGTCATAACATGTGTTAAAGTCTATTGCAGTGTAGAAGTCCACTTAGCCGGTTGCTTGAGTGTATGCCTCCTGATCTGGAGGTGACGATCGATCCCTGTGGTCGGCTCTTGGAAGTCTTATTGCAATGCAGACTAGCATAGCAACCATCAGTGAGACTGTACATTGGTTGGTGGCTGCGTCGACGCCTGTGTTGTGTGTGTGTGTGACTGGGTACACCAGGTCGTGGGGGTAAATGAATACCCGTGCTTGGGTGGGGTTAAGTGCTCATCTTGGGGCTTAACTTTCACCCCAGTCCGCTTAGCCGCTTGGTTGTGTATGCCCCCTGACCTGGAGGTCGCGCATTCGATCCTTGTGGTCGGCTCGTGGAAGTCTATTGCAATGTAGGCTAGCATAGCAACCAACCATCAGTGAGATTATACATTGGTTGGTGCCTGTGCCAATGCCTGTGTTGGGTGTGTTTGTGACTGGGTACACCAGGTCATGGGGGAAAACTAGTACCCGTGCTGGGGTGGCGTCAAATGCTCATCTTGGGGCTTTCACCCCAGTCCACTTAGCTGTTTGGTTGAGTGTATGCCTACTGAGGTCGCACGTTCGACGCTTGTGTTGGGTGTGTGTGTGTGACTGGGTACACCGGGTCGCAGGGAAAAAGGTACCCGTGCCGGGGTGGGGTTAAGTGCTCATCTTGGGGCTTAACTTTCACCCCGGTCCACTTGGTCATTTGGTTGAGTGTATGCGTCCTGATCTGAAGGTCGCACGGTCAGCGGTCGGCTCGTGGAAGTCTATTCCAATATGTTGAAGGCAATTGAAGTTAGCTCCAAAGCAGCACATGATGGTACTGAGTTCATAATCGACTCAAATGCCAAAACAATATAGTAATATACACGTGGTTACCCTCCTGACTGTCTGGCTGTCTGGGTCCACACGCTGACAGGATAAAAAAATATTCAATTTACACCATGGTTGCATCCCCGCCGACCGTCGACCCCGACCGCCGACCGTATTGCAGCCGACCGGTCGGCCGTCTGCCGACCAGTCAGAAAACAACCATCCACTATTTTTTTTTCAGATCTGAGTTGGAAGCTGTACCGCGCTTGCTGAGTACAGCCCAAATCCGCTGAGAAACTTTTGGGGATGGGGGAGTTGGGGGKGGGGTGTATAGGGGGATATAGGGTGGTATAGGGGTGGTATAGGGGTGGTATAGGGGGTATTGGGGGGGGTATGAGGGTGTTGGGGGCCGGTTTGTGGGTGTTGGGGGGGTGTATGGGGGTATTTGGGGTGGGTATGGGGGTGTTCGTGGAGTTATTAGGGGTTCTGAACCCAAAGAATTTTTTTTTTTTTTTTTTTTTTCAGGGTGCCGACGACCCCTGACCAGCCGACCGGTCAGCGTGTCGGCAGCGCAGCCGACCAGTCAGGGGTCGCCGACGGTCGGCGTGTGCAACACTTATTTACACATTAATTTCGCAAAAAATTTCAAAAAAAACAAAACTATCCAGGGAAAGATGTGCAGCATAGGAATAGAAACACTTTTTTTTTAGGGCCATCTTGAAAAGGAAGGAGTTAGCACCCATTGTCCGGATCAATCACAACATCGAGATGGCATCCAGACCATCTGGAACCAGACTATTTGGATATGTCCCAGGTCGAGGTCCACGGCAACCATGGTAATACTGAAATCCTTCAGAAGACTTTACCAATGTCAGTTAACAGCTCACAAACTATGGAACTCACACTACCACCCTCCCTACATACTCATTCCCACTACCACCCTCCACTTCGCATTTCGATGCTGTGCATGTACGCTATGGTCCACTCATGCTGCTGTGCAGCACTTGCCACATAGATGGCTGCAGGCATTCCAGCTGCATAGTTCGCACTGTTCACATGCCTGAGCACAGCCAAAGTTCACAGTTCTCAATAGATTTGCCTGCGGCCTGACGGGCAGGTGGACTGCCTGTATGCATGTGAGAAAGAGAGAGAGTGTGTATGAGAGGTGTTTACATGTATGATCATCTTTGCCCATGTGCGCGTTGCATGTGGGGCCCGGAGGACTGGGTGAGGGTGCTTCTGTGCCTGTTTGCAGGCATGCTCTGGCAAACACAACGCAGGGAAGGTAGGAGGGGAACAAGAGGGGGTTCTGTGCAGGCCACACGACATTCATATGTTTGTGGGGGCGGGGACTGGGGAGTAGTGGGTGTATGAGTGTGCGTCCTTTCGAGCATGCATGGAGTTGCACACACAAAGCAGGGAGAGTGGAGGGAGGGGAACAGGGGAGTAGTTTCTGCAGGGTACAAGATGTTCATGTGCATCGTGTAACTTCCCCATACCAGAGAGGGCCCCGCAGGTACAGTTGGTAAAGGCGACCCATCCTCCTGATGTCACAAAGCTCACTTCCATGAGGTGTGCAATGCACAAATTTTCTTTTGGTTGGGGCATACAATCCATTTGGGTACCATCGGTCACGATACTAACACACTTGTGCAATGAACCTCTCAGTTCAACACCAATGAGTGCACACAATCACACACCACGCATGAATGAGATCACACGAAGTTCACACTGGAGGCCAGAGAGACGAAGTCCAGGTAAGCGCAGCTTTAGAGTTCCAACAAATTATCATATGAGCAATTAAGAGTTCCAGTCACAAGCGCTCAACAGTGCAAACCCAAGTAAACAGTATCTCCATTCAGGTCTCTCTCCCAATACTCTTCTCTCTTCTCTCTCGGTCTTCTCTCTGTCTACCACCTCACTCACACCTACTACTTGAGGACCAACTCTGAATACACCAACTGCTGTAACCCCTCTGAGTTCTACTACTAACTACTAAACACTGGGGCAGCTATGGCTGCCTTCCCTCGGCCAGCACTGGGCAGTTATAGCTGCTCCCTCTCTCTCCTTCTACAGTGCAGCTCCCTGGCTCAGTACTCTGCTCCTCACAATAGTGCACAAGTGCACCAGCACTTCCACACTTCATGCGAATGAGCAATCTGCCGAACGAGTAGGCCGGCCAGTCCTTATATTGTCTTGGACTGAGCTTCAACTCGTCCCAGCCTCTGCTTCTTGGGGCTTAACTTGGTTCTGGTACCACGTCCCCACGGCCTGTTTGATTCCGAATTTCAGGGCCTGGTACTTTCCCGAATTTTCATTGGTGTGCTGCTGCTTGGGCCTGCGAGTCACAACTTTTTGTGGGACATGACTTTTGACTGTGGGTTGTGACTCCTGCCTCTGGACCCGACTTTTGCCTGGGGAAGTGTCCTTTGCCCATGGGATGTGACTTTCCAATATGACTTTTCATTGTGAGACGCGACTTTTGCTTAAAGAACACAAACTGTGGCCCTGGGATGTGACTGTTCACCGGAAGCGTGTTGGACTTAGGTACCCGATTGTGACTTCTCTGAAACTGACCGTCTCGGCCTAAGACCTTGACCCTGAAACTCGAATTTGGGGTCTGAATCATGGAATGCCTTCACTTGATGGTGACATACAATGGGAAACACGCAATTTCCGCAGTGATGGGGATGGCAGACCCAGGCTCAAAAGACTACAACATAGCACACAATGGGAGGGGCGGCAAAATAGACTCAGACGTAATGGCTATTTCAATATCTTGCAACTTGTGACCCCAGCAGTTAATCTCTTGCATACCTAAGAATCTGACACGACTGACACCTCAGCAAATGGTCGTACTTGGAAGTGACCTATGATTTTAAGAGGCAGGATAAGCATAGGTTGAGACGTTAAAAGTGGAGAACGGATAACAAAAAATGAAAGCAAAAACAACAAAAGAAAACCGTCACCGACTAGGGTGACTTCAGTGTTTTGCAGAATGAGGGACTCGCAGGCATGACTCTGTTGAATTACCATTATTAGGATCTAATATTAACTGGTGTAAATCACATGGCATTCCAAAGACGGAACATGAGTCTGGTATGTAACACAACCTGGCTCCTTTCGAAACGCCCAAACAAACTGTCCAGCTGCTCAGGGGAAAAAGACCATGCCAAATCTGCAAGGAGGTCAAAAATATTGTTCTTCACCTGCAAAACAGAAAAAAAAAAAGGTCACTCAGCACATGTCCGGGGAAAATTATGAAGGGTTTCATTCCGCCACTCATCAAACGCAAGGAAGAACAACTGGGTCTTTCCACCTTCTAGCTGAGGATACACACCCCACTTTACACTAAGCAGTGCAATGAGACCCAAACACAGAAACATGATTGAACCCTACCGGGTCAGGGAAGTCACTCTAGAAGACAGCCATACAGCCAGTAAGCAGGCACGACTGAGGATTAGACGCATAGCCAGAAAGACCATCTGGACGGCTACCAGTAGAATCAGAATGCTGGCAAAGAACAGGATTAGAAATATAACAGTACTAGCAGTCTGACAGTTCAACAGCAATATCTGGTGAAAAGAGGGAATCCAGGCTCCAACTCAAAAAAAGAGATTCAAGAGACGTGGCAGTATACACCCAGGCACAACACTGCTGCTCAGCATCACATAGTACATGACTGGCAACCTTGATTGGATGTGTTGCATAGGTGGGAGGTGGCTATCAGCCTGGTCGGTAGTCTATCTGCGGGGGGAAAGGGGGACCAATACCTTAGCTACCGCATTACACAGTAATCATCTGAGTAATGTCAAAAGCTGAGACCTCCAAGCATCCAATGCCAGCAAAACAATAAATGCGTCAGTAAGCGAACAGCGGGGGGGAATCAAAACAAGGCCTATACCTAGACACAAAATTTATAGACTAGTCTATAGCAGGGAAACAAGATGCATCGCTATGCAGGCAGATTGTCAGTCTAACCATGCACTTCAAATGGGCCACTCTTTTTTTCTAAAACAAGAGTCGACATAGCACAGGCTGCAAGGGGGATTACTCACAGCTTCAAATTGGTCCGGCTTTTCAGTCGCTGCCCAAATAGCATTTAGATGTTCCTCCGAGAGGCACCTCTCCTGCAATAAAAATCGCATGATTTTCTCCACCTGCCATGCAGGCATAAAAAAATCCAATAACAAATGCAAAGGATCAGGCACATCACTTTCCTTACCCACCTGACCACCTCTAGCAAAAACACACAAATCTGGCACAGCAGGTTAACGAGGTGTGTCCATTTCAATGCATGTTTGCAGCCCACATAGGGCCAAGCATTTGTATCCGATGGATGGTTGCTGTATGTGTAACCGAGGGAAGGGCAGGGAGTGCGAAGAAGGATATTGATGGGAGAGGATACTTGTGTGCCCATTTAATCTGACCAGCGTGAACTGCAGACCACAGCAACGTGTGATTTTTACCTTTCACAAGTTTTTCTCCAGTCAAAAAACGAAATAGATAATACATTATTATGCAATGAATTGCAGCTGCCCACATGGGGCTGTACACTAAGTTCGTCAGCTATTCCCCTGTTTTGACCCCTGCGGTACTTGATCACGCGACCTACAATTTGTATCTGTTGTTTTCTAGCTTTGACTCCTACTGCGCTTGATCCGTGAACCTGTCGCTAGTAGTCTCTATTTGGCGGTCTTAGACCCTTCAGCCGTATTGTTTTGTCCTTTTCTGCTCTTCTGGGAACTGGTAGGCCCATAGGTCTCTCTTTCGTGTGTCCTATCCTTGGGGTCCCCTTAATTTAGATTTCCATATAGATGATGCATGTGGGCAGATCTTAACTGTTTGGCCAGACCCTTCAGCCTTATTGCTTTGTCCTTTTCTGCTCTTCTGGAAAGTGGTAGGCCCATAGGTCTGTCTTTCGTGTGTCCTAGTGGGCAGATCTTGACTATTTGGCTGTAGTTGTTTGTTGTTTGGACAGTCAAATTGGTCTGCAGGTGGCTGCTGTGTTGTAAATCTAGGTAAGTTGGGTAGAAGTACGCAGAGGCCCAACGACTTTCGGATTCTTTTCCTTTTTTTCCCTGAAGTTGTGACGAGGGTTACGAGAGCTGCGCTATTTTTCAGCCTTGTCCCCTTCCTCTGCAGGAAGCTGTGGGCTGCCATAGCTGGGCCACCCTACTACTTCGGGAGGCAGCGCCTGTGGGAGGTCTTCCAGGTGCTGGTGCCACTACCGTCCCGCTGCTGTTTGGGAGGTCAGAAGCTTGCCGCTGCTTCATCAGCAAAGCAGCAATTGCTTGGTTGCAGCCATAGCTAGCGACCATCTGCTTCTTCATCCAGGTTCATTTTCTGCTTCACGGTGGCTTGCGGCACTGTTGTTTGATGTCTGGCTCACGCCAATCTGCACCTGTACTCACAACTCGGGGCATGATGGGATGCTGTTTTCAACAGTGGGCTATCATTGGAGGCTGGCGCTCAGGAGAGAAGGAGAAGTTTCACTGAAACTTCGTTGAAGTGTATTGCTGGGGGTTAATTGGAGGTGGAACAGATTTCGTGGTTGAGAATCTTGGAGTTATTCGGTTGAGCGGAGGAGAGCAGGGGTTGTAATAAATAATTGATTCAAACATTTTTCTCTCAATTTTTATCTGGTTTTGGCTTCCGCTGCGCAACATCTCTCCATGGCTATGGTGTGAATCTGCTCTCTCCAGTCTGCCTGTCATTGTAGATGTGTATGGGGACATTTGAATGCGGTTTTGAGTAGGGGAACTCTCTCCATAACAGTTACATATCCGCTTCACAATTCTGCAAACATGATTTTGCCTGCCCTGTAATTTTAATATAAAACGGAGCCTGCAACTGGACTCGAACAGGAGGCCTTTCCCTTACCAAGGGACTAACCTACCACCTTGGCTACGTGGGCTCGCAGGGAAATTGGAGACAATGGGGCTTGAACTGATAACTTCATACAACATTCGTTCTACCAATGGAACAACGCTCCAGACAGGACCAAGGAAATGGGATTTGGATCGATGATACAATCTTGTTGTATGTAGATTAAGCAAGCAAATGCCTTCAGCCACTCAGCGATACCTCCCGGGAAAAACAGGATTTGAACCCACAACTTCTGGGATAGCAGACCAGCACTCAGCTAAGAACCCCACACACACAACACCTCCGTATACCTGGAAGTATAGGCATCTCGATCTCAGTACAACATCCACAATGTCTATACCCTATGACTACAGTTCTACAACATCTCTGCTCCAATTACCTGAAAAAAAGGCAGGTCTCCCCTGACGGGGGGTGGTTGTGAGGGAGACCCAGCATTGTACACACATGCATTTGCTGATGAACATATGATGAACTCAATACTGAAAAGAAAAATGCGTACACACATGTAACTGTTGATACAAGGGTAACACTCCTGAATGGTACGCACATGTAGCTGTTGATCAACTGGTCATGAGTTAGCTATGGGAATACAGGTAATGAGATAAATGCACGGAAAAGAGCAATGTGAATGACAATCAACCAGATTGCAACATTCCAAAAAAGCCCAGATAACTTCGAGCAGATACCGAAAGCAGAATGCAGAGTGAAATCGCACCAAATAAGATTGAACCAGCATTGAAGTCACATGATAAGAAAGCCCCCATCTTGCCTCCGATTTTGACAATGTTGCAATCCTACTCGGGCTCTAAGCCCAGACCTGGACTCCTTCCCTACAAAAGGTCGTGTTGCCGCATGAGTTAGCGGCCCATTTCTCATCACCAGGTAAGTGCCCCATCACACACGTCCACATCCCCCCTCTTCCCCTCAACTTAACTGTGCTGCACGTGGTCCCCTAAGAGTTGCCTGTCTAGAACTGATGTCTGCCAAGGCCCCCGATTTACAGCCACCTACATCGACTTCTATCACTATCAGTTCTCCCTCTGGACCTTCTGCCATGGTCACCCAGGAAGCTATTAGGTCCTTCGTAGACCATTCCTCCTCTAGCTCCTCAGAGGACTGACCTCCCTGCTCAGACCCTTAGCAAGTTACTACTACTGGCTCACCTGGTTTCTCTGTGTATTCTTCTCTTGCGGCTTCTGCTGGGACTTCCCTTTGTTCCGGTTGGGCCTCCTCTCCATAATCTGCACAGGGCTCAACTGTAAGTGCCCTGGGCCTCCGCATCTTCAGCTGGGCCTCCGCATCTTCAACCAACCAAGTGCAGCAACCAACCCATGGGGCCAACAACATCTTTGGCTTGGCCTCAGGATCTTCAACCAACCGGGTGTGCAGCAACCAACCCATTGGGCCAACGCCAAAAGTTGCAGGTCCACCTTCACTTGAGGGCGGGCAGGGACTTTTTCCAGCATGCCGTGGGGCTCAACCCTTGGGCCCTACCGGTTGGCTGGAGACGCTGCGTACAGCAACCAACCCACGGGGCCTTATTTTCTGCTATCACTAGAGGCCAAAATTTGCAGGCCGCCTTCACTTAGGGCAGGCAGTGCCTTTTTCCAGCATGCCGAGGGGCTCAACCCTCGCATAAACAGGTCATGAGTTCAAATTCTGAAAGTCACAGTGCACTCATAGGTAGCTTGTTGATACAGTTCAAATCCTGAGAATGACAAATCATTCCCATCAACAACTCCTTTGTCTTTGTGCCCCCTTGCCCCCTTTCCAGCTCTTTCTACCCTCTTCCCCTGCTTTTGTGTTGCAGCATAACAACAGCTGGCCTCCGCTAATAAAGCCAACGACATGTCAGGGTGAACTGACCCCACCATGATTGGTCAAAGACATGGCCCGCCAACACTATGGTCTTCTCCCAAACACAATGCATGCAAACTATGGTCTTATCCCAAACACGATGCATGCACCCTGATCATGAATGCATACAAGGTATCTTTCAGGTCCAGACGGTTACGATGAGGGAGATCAACAAGGGAGAGCAAGGGAAGGCAGGCAATGAGGGATGGTGATGAGGGAGCATTCTGTTCGTTAGCGGCAGTAGTGCAATAGGTAGAAGGTGAGGCCAGAAGGTACCCATACAGACCACCGCTACTTGCCAAAAAGTAGAAGAGAGAGAACATCATATCTGACGAAAAAGGATTGTCAGCTGCCGTACCTGATCAACATACTGCTTGTGATGAAGATGGGACCTCAGGACCCGTCTCAGTATGTCATTCTTTTCCAGCCACTCTATTGTTGTCCGCACTGCTTGCGAATTGTCCCTATTCATGCAATTCCAGTTAGCACGTCAACAAAAAAATAACCCATTCAGTTTGCAGAACTCACAGTTTCGATTCCTCCACCCACTATCAACATAGGCTTTTCCGCCAGTTTCCAGTAATCAATCAGGCTGGTAAAATAGGCAAGCACAGTACCCTCCTTTGCTCCACCATTCCCACCCCACCCCCCAGCTACTGTTGCTTGCCACCCAGGGTGGAGTAATTGTGTCCATCTGGAAGCCCTGCTGAACTATGTCAAGGTCATTTCGGAAATTCAATGGTCAAGATCTGACTCCTCCCCATTTGGGGCACCAATTTCAAAAATCAAGACAAAGATGATTCCCCATCTGAGACGTTCCTTTCCAAATTGAGACAGAGACATGGCTCAGTCGGGTCTGGTTCTTCTCCCCTTGCAGCCGGACTCAGTGCAACTCCAGACATCGATCTCATAACTCCACCTACGCATTTTTTCCTCCAGTGATATCTTCACAACCCATTCTCTTCACCCATACCATCAGCATCGCTTGCACAGCAAGTCCTCTCCACCATCCATTTGCTTTGAATGACACAGCAGATCCACATGGTTAGGATTCCTGTGCATGCACCATGTCCATGGTATGGCCACCTTATGGTACTAGAGGACAGCAAACGAGGGGCAGTGACAAACTGCTTCGGCGGGGTTTCGCCAACTCGTCAGGAGGCGGTACATATGCACATGAAGTGCAGATTGTAATCTCCATTTCCGTTCTATCCATTTCGAATTCCCATTCTCCTATGACCCTGTCCATTCTATGTTATGTCCATGTCATGTTTTTCCATTAAGGATTACGTGGACTTATCTCCATAGCATTTTCAATTCTCATTGGTTTGCTTCCTCCCCTCCTGCCTTTTCTCCTTGCTCCCAACCCCTTTCCCCCATGACATCTTTAATACACCACATCTATTTTTCCACTTCTCACTCTTGAAGATTTTTCTTAGTGGACTTGATCTCCCTGATCACCTGCATCTACATCAGACATTGCAGGCATGTTTCATGACTTATAGAAGAAATTATGCCACTATGAATCGTGACTCTTCTTACATCACCATGAGTATGTCCTTTGTGCTTGTGCAATCCAATTCACGCTTGTTTCAATACCGCTTTAGGGTTAAGGTACTCATTCTTCGAATGCATTCACATTGACAATACCGCATTCCCCACATCCGTATGCACTGTCCACATCTAGAGTTCTGTGCCTCATCATTCCGCATAGCATATAATCAATCCCCGAGAAAAATGTTGCATCAGTATCCCGGGGTCAGAAGGGGGTTGGGCAGTAATACATGGACCAGATAGACTGCACAAGGTGCCATGTGGGCAGAGTTGTATTATGTGGTGCATGTGAAACGAGGTAGGCTGGGTCACACGATGTGGCCAGGGTCATACTACCTGGCCTAGGTGATGCTATGTGGTCGGGGTGATACCATGTGTGTCGGGCGGTACTACATGCACCAGAAACGGGGCTCCTGTGTACTCATACTCGAACAGCAGCCCCCGGTACTGCAAAATGGAGCCCGCATTGGATTTGAATGCTGCTCTCTATTGCCAGTCCAGGGCCGGCACTACACTTGTTCTCACACAAAACGTCTGCACGGGGTTGCTCTGTACTTGTGTTCGAACAGCAACCCTTGTTGCAAAGCCCACCCCTCAAACAAAAACTTGCCAATACAAGCAAAAAACGCAGAATGTGCCTCCCACCCAACTGCCAGTTGAGCCTCAGATAGAGTGACCGGACCAAAAACGAAAAATGCAGCAACCCTCCACACCACCCCCACGCAGCCACAAACGACCAGCAACTGTGCAAGGAAACGATGACATACAGGACCATCAATCATGCGACCAAGGGGGGGGGAAAAACAGAGCTCAGGGCACAACTACATGGAATGACATTGCCCATCCAACGAGTTGCCCATCCATTGCCCATCCAATGACCGTGCGAGCCTCGTGCTGGGTCCGCAGGATGCATCTTCAAAAACCGGTTTTTTATCACAAAAATATCAGAGCACAAATGCAAAAAAAAAAAAAAAAAAAAAAAAAAAAGGAAGAAAAACAGAAAAAAATGAATTCAGTTTTTAATCTTCCATATAACTCCCCCTGTTCAGAACCTCCTGCGTACAAGGCCGCCCACGTGGATGTAGGTTGAGCGGCGGCTGCCCCCACCCCCGTGTGTCATATCGACCCACTTGCACACAGCCAAAAGGCAAAGAAAAGAGGAAGGGAACAGCCAAATAATATTCTAGGCTACCAGCCGGGCCGCCCGGGTCCCGGGTGGCCAGCCCGTGCAAGGATCAAAAAAGGTCCCAGCAAAAACAAAACAAAAAACAAAAAACAAAAAAATCCGAAAAATCCGAAAAAAAAACATGTTATGCAGAAAAATAAATCGGACAACTTTTGCCTCAGGGTCACATCGGCAATGCCTGCCGGTGACGAGGGACCGGTACAGCCTTGCCCTCGCACCACAGATGTGGTGCCAACCTACCCTGTGGGCTGGGGAGGGATCCGGGTTGGTTGGTGTTCCCCCTTACTATATATAGAATAGTGAGAGGATAAGATAGATGCGTACTATCAAGAAAAATGAGATAGATGAGAAAAGAATAAAGCTTACCTTTAAAAAAAAATAAAAAAATTTACTGAATTAAAAATAATAAAAATATATATATATACAGGGTAACCGGCGTTCGGGACGGGCCGAACGCCCGAACGTATGGGACCCCTTGGGGATGCGTTCGGCCGTTCGGGCCGAACGCGGACCCAGAAAAAAAAATAAAAATGAAAAAATAAAGTCATCAAAAAAAATCTGAAAAAAAGATATGTTATGGAGAAAAATAAATTAAACAAGATTTGCCTGAGCATTACATCCGAATTCCTTACGAAATTTGAAATAAAAATAAAAAGCGGAAAACAAATACTAATAATAAAAATAAATCAAAATAAAAAGAGAATTAAATTTAGTGAGTGCGCGAGCATGTTTTCAACACTGCCATCTTTGGCGATTTTTCTTTTTTTTTGGGGTAGCTAAATGCCCTGAGAATTTGCAGATGTGTACTTCACATAATACAAAACCCACTAAAAAATTTTCAAAAAATAATAAAATTGTTTAGACCCCGAACTAAAGTGAAAACAAAAAGTAAAAAGTGAAAAAATACGTGGGCGAGCACATTTTGACACCGCCATCTTTGGCGATTTTTAATTCTTATTTGGCTTAGCCAAATGACTTGAAAATTTACAGGCATGTACCTCACGTCATAGAGAACTCGCCAAAAAAAATTCAGAAAAAAATAATTATTTTTAGGCCCCGAAATATTTTTTGGCGGGGGCCAAACGCCGTCGGGTTCGGACCCCGTACAGGACACCGAACGCCCGTACGTACGGAGGTCTGCCCGGGGACCTCCATACGTACGGGCTGGTGACCCTGTTGGCCCGGCCGGGCAAGTGACCCCGGGCCACTCTGGTAGCCTAGTATATATTTGACGATATATAGTCGAACAGAGCTGCCCGGTAAGCCGTAGGCAGAGGGAGAAGATGACAACAAACGCGGGGCTGTGACAAACTGTTTCGTCAGAGTTTCACCGACTCATCAGGAGGCTGAATATATACTGTCAAACAGAGCTGCCAGGTAAACCGTAGGCAGAGAGGGAGAAGAGGACATATATCATCACAAAGTTATCAGAGCGCGAAGCAAAAAAAAAAAAAAGAACGTTTTTTCTTCCTTACAACTCCCCCTGTTCAGAACCTCTTGCGTACAAGGCCGCCCACGTGGATGTAGGTTGAGTGGTGGCTGCCCCCACCCCCATGTGTCATATCGACCCACTTGCACACAGCCAAAGGGTAAAGAGGCAAAGAAAAAAGGAAGAAAACAGCCGAACAAAACAAAACAGGGGGAAAACAAATCCTAGATGATAAGTCCCACATGCAAGCACCGCCCCCACGTCACAGGCCAAAAGACGGGACAAGACCAACCAGGATATCAAAACACCTTGCCTGCAAAAAAAAAGAAATCAATCTATTGTGACTGCCGCCGTCTGTGCTGAAGGATATCCAACAAAACATAGAAGTCAATCCCAGATGACGATTCCCACATAAAAGCACCGCCCCCAAATGCACAGGCCGAACAACGGGAAACAACCAACCATGATGCCAAAAATAAAAAAGAACCCGGATTACTAGTCCCACACGAAAGCACCGCAAAATAGACCGAACAACGGCACAAAACCAACCGGGACGCAGACAAAGACAAATATATATCGTCACATGAATATCCCTATCACCCAGATATACGTTGTCCCTATTGTGCCCAAGGACGCTATCAGAACTGTATGATGCCGCACTGTGATGAACGTCCTGCCGTGTTTTTTGACATGTGGACAACACGTCCTCTGTCAGGACTGTTTTGATGGGATGGTTCGTGCTAGCCGTCCTGCAGAATGCTGTGCTGGCGCAGCTCTCCTTGGGCATCCTTGTGAACATCCACATCATCCTCACCGTAGCTGTCCTATCTGCCGAGGTGGGGGCAGGTAAAGAAAAAAAGAAGAAAAGAAAAAGAGAAAAAAAGAAAAAAAGAAAAAAGAAAGAAAAAAAGAAAAAAAGAAGAAAAGAAAAAGAGAAAAAAAGAAAAAAAGAAAAAAGAGAAAAAAAGAAAAAAAAGAAAAAAGATACGTTGATCTGTGGGATGTGTTATTTGCTTTGTGATAATTGGATTATCTTTCTTTCCC